ATATATATATATATATATATATATATATATCTTTAAAAGTGATTTGGTCAACATTTAGTTTTTTTTTGAAGTTATTGATGTAGAACTTCTCTTATATGCTAGTATGGTTATTTTGCAAAAGTGTAATAACATAGTTACATGTCTATCTATTTTTGACTGCTATGGATTATCAGCCAGGTAAAGTTTATTTAGTAATATTGTACTATTAAATATGATGCTAATTATTTATGTTTCACTATACGGCCCACACACTAAAAATAATTTTTTTTAGTGATTACTTATTAATCAATTAACGTTATAATTTAAAGGACCGTGAATTTGTGCATTAGGGATATGTGTTTAATGCCAAAAGGATATGATGGGTATTAATGTGTAACGTTAATAAAACATTTAATTCGTATTTGTGTACCTAGTAAAATAATTGTTTTTAAAATAATTATCCATCAAATAAAAACCTACCGCTAAATAATATAGTATATTCTAATTGATTTGAGGTTAAGAGAAGAGTATTTTATAACACAAGAAAAAAGAAATAGTAATGTAATACCAAAGAAGACTATTTAGTATGTATAAAAAAATTAATTAGCATAAGTAATTCGCACCTTTTCATGAAATAAACTTTCGACAGTTGTGTTGAGATCGACGTGGAAGGTGAAATCAGAATCTTCGGATGTTTGAATCCCCGAAAACATTGCTAGTTTTATGACTCCTTCAGAGAAAGTTATCATATTGGGACATTCAGTTACCATCACATTTTGTAAACATGGGCATTGCAAGGTGGCATTTCCTGAATAAAAGCTTATCAGCCTTGGCAAGTATTCCAGCTCAATTGATCGGAGTCGTCCAAATATTATCTCATCACAATCATCTTCCTCTTCATTTCTTGCAATTTCTTTGATTGATCCACAATATCCTATGAATAGAGTCTCAAGTTTCACCAAACATTTTAGTGTTGCAGACGTGAATAAATACTCCATCCTTTCGCAGCCCATCACAAATAAATCTTTAAGATTGATGAATGACACTGCACAAGAAACTATGTTTTCTACTCGATGGCAACTGTAAAGAAATAGCCAATCAAGCTTTTTGGAGTATGGTTGTACCCACGTGTGTTCTAAACCTATAGACTCTAACTCACTTAACTCCAACAAAAGTAATCTTTTCAATTCAGCAAGTACGTTGTCGTGAACTTGAAGCTTTTGAGAGGGAAATATCTCCTTTAGACCAGAGCATTTCTGTACTGTAAGAGATTCTAAATTGGGTAGCTTGTGAAAGAAACTAAAAGGCAAACTATCTTTCCCATTGTTATCATCCTCAAATGATAGTATAAGATATTTTATTTTACAAAGAAGGTCTTGTGGCAAACGTGCATCACTCATTAGCTTAATGTTTTCCTCATTGAGTGTTAATCCCACCGGTTTGGGAGAAACCTAGCAATTGAAGTCAAACAAATTCAAATGAGATGTGTTGACGCTAGTTAAATTTTACAAAAGGAAAATATATTAATGAAAAGAAAAGGAAACACAAAAGGTTAAATTCTAATGCTTCATTACCTTCTGAATAGAGAACAAAGGTTGTTGTAACAAGTCAGTTGGAGCCTCTAAAACTTCTTTTTTACTATCATCATCAAAGCTTGATCTGAATACCTTCAGCTTAGGACAACATGCCACATATAACCTATCTAACAAGGGACATTCTAGATGATGCTTTCCAAGGTAAAAGCAACTCAACAGTGGCATGTTTTCAAGATTTAGATATGACAAACAAGGGAATTCAAACATTATTGTCGTTCCATGTTCCATTTCATCTTCCCTTCCAACTATTTCTATCATTTTCTCACACTCCTTTATATCAAGTGTCTCCAACTTCCCAAGATCTTTGGCAAGTGATAAAGGGAACAATGTTAATAGGCTTCTACAACCATCAACATCCACTCTTTGCAAATTCGAAAAGCTGACAATTCCTTCGAGATTTTCCTTCCACACACATTTTAAATTTGACAACTGTTTTAACGTAAGCGTTTTCAAACGAAACACCATTCCATACATCTGGATTTTTCTCTCATCTATGTCAAATATTAGTTTTGCTGATTCGCATTTCTCCACATTCAATTCTTCTAAGTTCTTCAAGTAAGGCAGTACGTGAGAGGGAATCAAAGTGTCTCTTTTACATGCTTCATTGAATTCCAATTTCTTCAAACAACCAAAGAAATTGTCCGGAAAAGCAAATTTGTCATGTCGAACTTTCTTCTCGGGATAATCAACAAGATTTATATACTTTGAATATTCAAAAGAAACCTTAAAAGGAGAAGAAACTAAATGTCAGATGTACATGACAATCAATGATTGAATGACTATAAAAAATTAATCTTTACGGTAGTTCTTATGGTATATGTAAAACCCGCACTTTATTTCATTATATAATTTGTTATAAAACAAACTTGGAAAATGAAAAAAGTGGAAATTGTTTCAAATAATTCGAAGAGTATGATAAAGGTCATCGGTTGCACAAATTTGATTGTGAAATTGTGCTAGACATTTGGATATCAAACCCAACTTGATAATACAATCCATAAACCTTGACCTATGAAACTGGGAAATAAATTACTTAAATTTGTACAAAACGGCATAATCTCCATGCTTCATATTATTTATGTTTTGCAAAATAATTGAATTATTATTTATGAACATTTTCAAAGAAATTAACATTAGATTATCTTTGGAGATATGATGCAATGAAAATTTGTGATGATCAACATACTTTAATGCATACCTGGTTTGTGAAATGTGTTTGTAGAGTGGCATTCAAATCACCTTCCCAATACCATTTGTCTTTTTCTCCTGCTTCAACATGTACTTTTTGTAGGTTTGGAGCACTTTGGAGTTCAGATAATTTTGTCATTTGAGGACATTCACTTACTACTAATTTTTCTAGTAGTGGGAATTTTAAGTCACACTTCTCAACCCTAGAGAAACTTGTGAGATTTTGTAGAGACACCAATTCTAATGATTTTAACTGTTTAAATTCAATCTCTCGTACTTTTTCCACTTTATTTTCTGCAACGATTTCCACAATCATTGGGCAGGAGCATACCTTCAACGTTGTGAGTTGAACCAAAGTTTTAGCAGTTGAGCATGTCATTAAACTCCTCATTGATTTACAATTCATCACTTCTAAATATGTCAAGTAACTAAAAGTTACCGAAGATGACACTAAATTTTTCAGTTTTGTACAATGTTGAATGCTTAAGCGTTCCACCCTTTGAAGAAGCACCTCGTGCTCAAAGCCAATCTCCTCTAGAGACCACATCCTTTCTAGTTTCAGCTCTTTAAGTTGCACAACACCACCAATTTTTTCACGTGAAATAAGACTTTTAAGAGCCCAAATCCTTTTCAAGTGACAAAGTTCTAATGTTAACCTTTTCAAATTGGGAAGTCTATGAAGAAACCAAAAGAGAATTTCATTATTCTTCAACCCATACAAAGTAAGTTCTTCTAGTTTGTGCATTCTGTGAACATTAACAATGTATTTTTGCAACCACTCTGCTTCCTTCAAGCTCAGCGACATGTATTCCAAGTTATATATTGCCTAAATAAATTAATAAAAAGACCTATTGTTAGTCTTAAAGCATACTAGTTGAATCATAATGTATTATTTTGATTTAAGAAATAAAAGACGTAATCTCACATCCTTGTTAAAGGTTGCTAATTCACGCTTTTCATAAAAAACAGGACATATGCTATATTTCCAACAAAAAGCTTCAAAAAAGAACTTTTTATTTGTATCTGAAAGAACTTTATGTACCTTTTTTGCAGCTAAAACAATTGGTTGCTCTTTTGAATCTGTGATTTCTGAAGTCAATCCTTCGAGCATGCTACAGTTGATTATATCCAATTTCTTTAATGGTGGCAACTCTAAAGTATGAATTCCTGAGTAGAAACTCCTCAAGTCATGCAAGTCTATTAATGATAGAGTATTTAGATGAGGAAATTTAAAGCTGATAGCAGTTTCACTTGAATGTTTGTCCAAAGCAATAATCTCTGTCATTGCCCCACAATTCCGTACCTCAAGGACTTCTTGTTTTTCTAGGTCATTGGCAATAGAAACTGGAAATAGATACTTCAATTTTGGACTCTCATAAACTCTTATGCTTTGCAAATTATTACATTTGAGTATTTCACCGGTGTAACCCTTCCATACGTTCACCAAATTTGGCAGGTTTTCTAGAATTATTTTACCCAAATTTGTTTCAATAATATCACAAGTGTGCGGAATATTTTCAAAATCAAAAATGTTTTCAACCAATTTGCAATCTGTAACTGTCAAGCTTTGAAGGCTTTGCAATCTTTGCCCCATATAATTAGGAAAAATTGTAACAAGTTTATNATATATATATCTTTAAAAGTGATTTGGTCAACATTTAGTTTTTTTTTGAAGTTATTGATGTAGAACTTCTCTTATATGCTAGTATGGTTATTTTGCAAAAGTGTAATAACATAGTTACATGTCTATCTATTTTTGACTGCTATGGATTATCAGCCAGGTAAAGTTTATTTAGTAATATTGTACTATTAAATATGATGCTAATTATTTATGTTTCACTATACGGCCCACACACTAAAAATAATTTTTTTTAGTGATTACTTATTAATCAATTAACGTTATAATTTAAAGGACCGTGAATTTGTGCATTAGGGATATGTGTTTAATGCCAAAAGGATATGATGGGTATTAATGTGTAACGTTAATAAAACATTTAATTCGTATTTGTGTACCTAGTAAAATAATTGTTTTTAAAATAATTATCCATCAAATAAAAACCTACCGCTAAATAATATAGTATATTCTAATTGATTTGAGGTTAAGAGAAGAGTATTTTATAACACAAGAAAAAAGAAATAGTAATGTAATACCAAAGAAGACTATTTAGTATGTATAAAAAAATTAATTAGCATAAGTAATTCGCACCTTTTCATGAAATAAACTTTCGACAGTTGTGTTGAGATCGACGTGGAAGGTGAAATCAGAATCTTCGGATGTTTGAATCCCCGAAAACATTGCTAGTTTTATGACTCCTTCAGAGAAAGTTATCATATTGGGACATTCAGTTACCATCACATTTTGTAAACATGGGCATTGCAAGGTGGCATTTCCTGAATAAAAGCTTATCAGCCTTGGCAAGTATTCCAGCTCAATTGATCGGAGTCGTCCAAATATTATCTCATCACAATCATCTTCCTCTTCATTTCTTGCAATTTCTTTGATTGATCCACAATATCCTATGAATAGAGTCTCAAGTTTCACCAAACATTTTAGTGTTGCAGACGTGAATAAATACTCCATCCTTTCGCAGCCCATCACAAATAAATCTTTAAGATTGATGAATGACACTGCACAAGAAACTATGTTTTCTACTCGATGGCAACTGTAAAGAAATAGCCAATCAAGCTTTTTGGAGTATGGTTGTACCCACGTGTGTTCTAAACCTATAGACTCTAACTCACTTAACTCCAACAAAAGTAATCTTTTCAATTCAGCAAGTACGTTGTCGTGAACTTGAAGCTTTTGAGAGGGAAATATCTCCTTTAGACCAGAGCATTTCTGTACTGTAAGAGATTCTAAATTGGGTAGCTTGTGAAAGAAACTAAAAGGCAAACTATCTTTCCCATTGTTATCATCCTCAAATGATAGTATAAGAGATTTTAGTTTACAAAGAAGGTCTTGTGGCAAACGTGCATCACTCATTAGCTTAATGTTTTCCTCATTGAGTGTTAATCCCACCGGTTTGGGAGAAACCTAGCAATTGAAGTCAAACAAATTCAAATGAGATGTGTTGACGCTAGTTAAATTTTACAAAAGGAAAATATATTAATGAAAAGAAAAGGAAACACAAAAGGTTAAATTCTAATGCTTCATTACCTTCTGAATAGAGAACAAAGGTTGTTGTAACAAGTCAGTTGGAGCCTCTAAAACTTCTTTTTTACTATCATCATCAAAGCTTGATCTGAATACCTTCAGCTTAGGACAACATGCCACATATAACCTATCTAACAAGGGACATTCTAGATGATGCTTTCCAAGGTAAAAGCAACTCAACAGTGGCATGTTTTCAAGATTTAGATATGACAAACAAGGGAATTCAAACATTATTGTCGTTCCATGTTCCATTTCATCTTCCCTTCCAACTATTTCTATCATTTTCTCACACTCCTTTATATCAAGTGTCTCCAACTTCCCAAGATCTTTGGCAAGTGATAAAGGGAACAATGTTAATAGGCTTCTACAACCATCAACATCCACTCTTTGCAAATTCGAAAAGCTGACAATTCCTTCGAGATTTTCCTTCCACACACATTTTAAATTTGACAACTGTTTTAACGTAAGCGTTTTCAAACGAAACACCATTCCATACATCTGGATTTTTCTCTCATCTATGTCAAATATTAGTTTTGCTGATTCGCATTTCTCCACATTCAATTCTTCTAAGTTCTTCAAGTAAGGCAGTACGTGAGAGGGAATCAAAGTGTCTCTTTTACATGCTTCATTGAATTCCAATTTCTTCAAACAACCAAAGAAATTGTCCGGAAAAGCAAATTTGTCATGTCGAACTTTCTTCTCGGGATAATCAACAAGATTTATATACTTTGAATATTCAAAAGAAACCTTAAAAGGAGAAGAAACTAAATGTCAGATGTACATGACAATCAATGATTGAATGACTATAAAAAATTAATCTTTACGGTAGTTCTTATGGTATATGTAAAACCCGCACTTTATTTCATTATATAATTTGTTATAAAACAAACTTGGAAAATGAAAAAAGTGGAAATTGTTTCAAATAATTCGAAGAGTATGATAAAGGTCATCGGTTGCACAAATTTGATTGTGAAATTGTGCTAGACATTTGGATATCAAATCCAACTTGATAATACAATCCATAAATCTTGACCTATGAAACTGGGAAATAAATTACTTAAATTTGTACAAAACGTCATAATCTCCATGCTTCATATTATTTATGTTTTGCAAAATAATTGAATTATTATTTATGAACATTTTCAAAGAAATTAACATTAGATTATCTTTGGAGATATGATGCAATGAAAATTTGTGATGATCAACATACTTTAATGCATACCTGGTTTGTGAAATGTGTTTGTAGAGTGGCATTCAAATCACCTTCCCAATACCATTTGTCTTTTTCTCCTGCTTCAACATGTACTTTTTGTAGGTTTGGAGCACTTTGGATTTCAGATAATTTTGTCATTTGAGGACATTCACTTACTACTAATTTTTCTAGTAGTGGGAATTTTAAGTCACACTTCTCAACATTAGAGAAACTTGTGAGATTTTGTAGAGACACCAATTCTAATGATTTTAACTGTTTAAATTCAATCTCTCGTACTTTTTCCACTTTATTTTCTGCAACGATTTCCACAATCATTGGGCAGGAGCATACCTTCAACGTTGTGAGTTGAACCAAAGTTTTAGCAGTTGAGCATGTCATTAAACTCCTCATTGATTTACAATTCATCACTTCTAAATATGTCAAGTAACTAAAAGTTACCGAAGATGACACTAAATTTTTCAGTTTTGTACAATGTTGAATGCTTAAGCGTTCCACCCTTTGAAGAAGCACCTCGTGCTCAAAGCCAATCTCCTCTAGAGACCTCATTCTTTCTAGTTTCAGCTCTTTAAGTTGCACAACACCACCAATTTTTTCACGTGAAATAAGACTTTTAAGAGCCCAAATCCTTTTCAAGTGACAAAGTTCTAATGTTAACCTTTTCAAATTGGGAAGTCTATGAAGAAACCAAAAGAGAATTTCATTATTCTTCAACCCATACAAAGTAAGTTCTTCTAGTTTGTGCATTCTGTGAACATTAACAATGTATTTTTGCAACCACTCTGCTTCCTTCAAGCTCAGCGACATGTATTCCAAGTTATATATTGCCTAAATAAATTAATAAAAAGACCTATTGTTAGTCTTAAAGCATACTAGTTGAATCATAATTTATTATTTTGATTTAAGAAATAAAAGACGTAATCTCACATCCTTGTTAAAGGTTGCTAATTCACGCTTTTCATAAAAAACAGGACATATGCTATATTTCCAACAAAAAGCTTCAAAAAAGAACTTTTTATTTGTATCTGAAAGAACTTTATGTACCTTTTTTGCAGCTAAAACAATTGGTTGCTCTTTTGAATCTGTGATTTCTGAAGTCAATCCTTCGAGCATGCTACAGTTGATTATATCCAATTTCTTTAATGGTGGCAACTCTAAAGTATGAATTCCTGAGTAGAAACTCCTCAAGTCATGCAAGTCTATTAATGATAGAGTATTTAGATGAGGAAATTTAAAGGTGATAGCAGTTGCACTTGAATGTTTGTCCAAAGCAATAATCTCTGTCATTGCCCCACAATTCCGTACCTCAAGGACTTCTTGTTTTTCTAGGTCATTGGCAATAGAAACTGGAAATAGATACTTCAATTTTGGACTCTCATAAACTCTTATGCTTTGCAAATTATTACATTTGAGTATTTCACCGGTGTAACCCTTCCATACGTTCACCAAATTTGGCAGGTTTTCTAGAAATATATTACCCAAATTTGCTTCAATAATATCACAAGTGTGCGGAATATTTTCAAAATCAAAAATGTTTTCAACCAATTTGCAATCTGTAACTGTCAAGCTTTGAAGGCTTTGCAATCTTTGCCCCATATAATTAGGAAAAATTGTAACAAGTTTATGGCACTCTCTTATCATCAAAGAGTTCAAACTGCTAAAGGAATGCAAACCAATATCGGATTTCCAAATGGTACAGAGTTTGTCCATGCAGATAATCTCCATTTTCTTCAACTTAGGGAAAACATCAATATACTGTTACAACAAAAATAATACTTTATATGTGAGCAATTGAAAGACCTAATTACTTAATATATCAAACAACAAAGGATAGCATTAATCAAACTAAATATTAAATGAATCCACAAACCTCTGCATCTTCTTGACGAAATATATCCTCCATCATTGCACATTCACTTACAAAAATGCTTTGAAGATTCACCAAACTTTCGGCCATAGAGAATGATAGTAAATACTTTAAATTACTGCAATCTGTCACATTCAATGTGAGCAAATTTTGAAAACAATGGTTACACTGGTCACTCCATATCTTATGGATGTTGATGGAGGATAACTCCAACCATTCTAATTTGGGAGTTGAGACCTGTAAGAACACATAAAATACCACAACAATGAGACTTCATTTCAAAAGACTTTTTCCCCAAGAGAAATGACAAAACTTAAACAAGTAGATTTTTTTGTATTTCTATTAAGGGAAGAACAACATAGAAATTAAACATTACACATGAAATTATGATAAGGTTCTCACATACCTTTTCATTGAAGAGTGGAAGACAAGAATTGGTGACCATGTGCTCAACATCAACAACAATATCTTTGTTCCTTTGTTGGAATACTTGGTCTTGCAACGAGTGTGGACTACCAGGAATCTTATCAGCATTATATAAATAAATAAATGTTGGTAGATACTTCAACTTTAAAAGTCGTAACTGGGGAAACTGAATCTTATCATCGCTGATAGTATTAGTTTGACTTTCTTTTGAAACTATCTCCTTCAAAGAATCACAGTCACACACTTCAATTGTTTCAAGCAAAGTGAGGAGTCTAACCATAGAAAATAGGAAAAGGTTTACCAATTTAATGCATGTTTGAATCTTGATGACCTTTAAATTGCGGAAAGAGGTCTCTACAAGCTGATTGTCACATATTATTTCCAAATTATCCAATTTGTAAAGCCATATGGACTCTAATTTGGGAAAAGCGACTAAAGAGTGAAACCGCTCCCTTGGATTGATAATATACTTAATGCCAAAATTGTTTACAATGGATAAATGTTTCAAATTTGGAAATCCTTCAACATTTAATTCATAGAAAATATCTTTAACATCATCGAGTTCTCCCAACAACAAGCATTCAACACTTTTGAACAACATTTTAATCCATTTTTCAGAATGAATATCAATACCTTCTTTTAGGTTTAATGCCAAAAATTTCACCTCCTCATACTTGTCAGGGACTTTGAATTCTCCCACTTTAAGCAAGTTAGACAAGTTGAATTCACCAATGACAATCTTGTAACTATTCAACCTGTCAAAAAACAAATTCTGGGGAAAATAGGAAGAACAATGGATGTGTATGTCTAGATTTTGTAACTGATTCAAGTGCATCAACTCAGAGAGACTAGCATTTTCACTTTTCATATTCTCTTCAGCCTCCCATATAATCAAGTTGTCTCTGATATAAAACTCCTCTAAAATGCCCATCCTCGGTATGATATTGGAAGTTATTTGTCTTAGTTTTAAGCAATTGCTTATGTCAAGAAATTGAAGCTTATCCAATTGCCCAAATTCAAGAGGCAAATTTTCTATATTAGATCCTGACAAAGTAAGGATTCTTAAATTCTTTAACTCACCAATCATTGATAGGTTCTCTCCTAAAGTGCATCGCTCCAAACAAAGCATTCTCAATTTTTTTAGGCATTTAATTGATGAAGGTAAGCAAGATAAATTAATACCAGTTAATACCAACACTCTGAGTCGAACCATAGATTTAAAAAATTCATCTGGTATTTCAAAAGATTCATTTTTATTGTCAATATGTAAGACTTCAAGTCGAGGACAATGTATACTCTCAGGAAGCTCATCATTGATGTCACAAAAGTGTACAAAAATGGCAGAGTACCTTTCAAAGTCATTTTCGTGAGGCCACTCATAAAGTATTGCATTTTTCTTATAAAGAACATGTTTTTCCTTGGATGATATTGAAAGAGCAACATCTCGCACAATGTCATGCATGTTGAAGCGATCAATAGAATAACTTTTCACCAACAAACTCGATTCTTCTAGCTCTTGTATCATCTCCTTTACTCTTTTCCTTGCATCTGTAATTGTGTGGACTCCTGGAAGCAAATCCAAACCAACACAAAATTTCACCAAGTCCATAATCAAAGCATCACTTCCCATTCTAGCACAGTGTAAGAAGATACACTTAAGCTCCTCATTTTTTAGATGATCATAGCTCAACTTTATTGAGAAGTCAGTAAATCCCCATTCTGATGTAAAATTTTGTCTTTTAATTTGTTGACAGACATCTTCCCATGTAGATAAGCTTTTATTCTTTAGTGTCCTTCCTATGGAAACTAAGGCTATTGGAAACCCAGCACTCCATTTGGCAATTTCAGTAGCACTCCTATCAAACTCAGAATTTTTCACACCAGCAACTTTCTTAAGCAAAGTCTCTGATTCCTTTTCATCAAGGACTCCTACCGAAAAAATTGACCTTTGTTGCACATCCATTTCATTACATAATACTTGTTTATTTCTAGATGTTAGAAGAATTTTCCCTCCTCTATAATCGTTAGACAACTTTTCCTTTTTCATCTTATCCAAATCAACTTTTGACAACTCTTTTATTTCTGTCTTATTATAACCAAAATCAGATATGTCATTGACTTCTTGTTGGCTTGCATCATCATTACATGGAATCCCAAGTTTATTAAAGTCCAATCCACCCCAAAGATCATCAAGGATAATAAGGGTGTTCTCCTTTTCATTCTTTAACCTCTTTCGAATACGATCTACTCTTGCAATCTCACTTTCCTCTTCCAATTTCATTCCTAGCATGACAGCAATTTGCTCTTGAATTTTTTTGAAGTCAGGATTTCCTGTAATATTTGCTATGATGATTATCTCGAACAAATTCTTTTCTCGAGCTTTGTTAGCAATTTCTTTGACTAAAGTGGTCTTACCCACACCACCAGGCCCATAAACTCCAATCATACCAACTGTAGAGTCTTGCAGTGCTTTCATGATCATCTCCATAGTTTTAGTTCTTGATGCAAAGCTTTCATAAACATTGTTTGAAAAAGTAGCATCAATGGATGGAAATTCTTGGTACGAAACATTGTCAAAAAAAGCTTTCCAAAGCTCATCTCCTATAATTTCCTCCACCATCTTTGTAGCTTTTCTACCCAGTTTATACCTCAGTCGGAAATTATTTGGAAAGAAACCAATTGAGCAAATTGTCTTTGCATGACAATCATCATTAATAAAACTTTTATATTCTTTTATTTTATCATCCATGAAGGTTAAGCAATGTTGAACGTCCTTTTCAATTTCATCTCCACTCCTTAGTGCACTATCAACTTGATGTTGTAGTCTCTCCTTATTATTTTCCAACTTCTCAATGTAAGATTTCAACTCCTTAAATTTGTCTTTGTAATTAAAAAAGTAACCCACTTGTCGTTTGACCACACTTGCCGTAATATTAAGTGCACTTTCAGTAGTTGTTGAGACAATTGGATCCATGGTCCCTTGATAATGGGCGCTTTCGTCTTAATTGTTTACTTACGATTAGTCCTTTTTTTCCTAAATAATACAAATGCAGAATTTCAGGGTTTATTAAGAAAAGGAAATAGATAAAACGTTCAAACAAAGAGAACATAGATGTTTATAAATATTACAATAATTTATAAATAAACACAACATTAAAAGGCATCATAAGGTTGTTAATGAAAAATGAACAATTTACATTTATAGTCATATTTATAGTCGGTGGTGTGGCGTCTGTTATTTCCAATGTCACTTGTCTACTCTAGTGGAGTGGTATCTAGGAATGACAAAAATATTGTGTCAATGAAGATAAATTTCGCTGTGGATAGTTGTTGATACCCATGGATAGCGGATAACAAATATGAAAAGTCTAATTTAGTTAAATTCGTTTTCTCTCACTTAACCTAAGATGAGAGAGGATTTTTAGGTCAAGAGAGTGTGAAAAAGTGGTAGTCTTTGGAAGAAAAAAGATAGAGAAAATTTGGTAGTAAATTCACCTAGTCATCTCAGTAAAATTGTGATTCTTGCTTCATTCACCATTCTAGGTGCACGTTTCTGACATACAATTCTTTAGTTTGATTGTTGAGACTATCAACTGGAAGTTTGTGGTTAGGTAAATTAGTCACTCACGATTGCTTTTTTTTAGGTTTCTCTTTCTTTGTTATTCATATTTGAGAGCATTATTTCTTTGGAGTATTGGTCAATCGTAGGTACTTATTTGTGTTTTTTTTACTCTATTATATTCATATTTGATCTTAGTGAAGCATGATTGATTGGTTTGTGTCTGTGGGTTTTTTCTTCTCACATTGAGAAGGTTTTCTCACGTTAAAAATATTGGTGTTCTCTTTTATGATTATTGTTGCAATTTTTATTGTTGTTTCCTCATAAATTCTTGCAGTTTGGGAGAATTATTTTTGCTTCATACTTTAGTATTTTTGGTTGTTGTGTGCTGTTTCCCCTATCATATTGGTTTCATAGTTTATTTTTGGGCGTATTTACTTGTTTGAACGATGTTCACAAATACAAATATGGTTGCTTTAAATGATACAAATTATTGGTGCAGAAAGGCAAGATGAAAGACTTCTTGTTGAAGAAATTGAATCTTCATGTCTTTACTACATAAAAGCCATATTCTATATTGATAAAGGATGGGACTTTGAAAACCAATAGAAGTATGCTTTTATTTGACAATACATAAAATACAATGTGTATAATCACATTGCTAAAGAGACACAAGCTAGAACTTTATGAGAAAAGATTGAGTCTTTGTTCTAAGTTTGGTAATAATAAATCGTGTTTTTTGAATTGCTTGATAAATTTTACGTACAAAGAGAGTTCTTCCATNTGCATTTTTCATATAAAGCACATGTTTTTCCTTGGATGATATTGAAAGAGCAACATCTCGCACAATGTCATGCATGTTGAAGCGGTCAATAGAATAACTTTTCACCAACAAACTCGACTCTTCTAGCTCTTGTATCATCTCCTTTACTCTTTTCCTAGCATCTGTAATTGTGTGCACTCCTGGAAGCAAATTCAAACCAACACAAAATTTCACCAAGTCCATAATCAAAGCATCATTTCCCATTCTTGCACAGTGTAAGAAAATACACTTAAGCTCCTCATTTTTTAGATGATCATAGCTCAACTTTATCGAGAAGTCCGTAAATCCCCATTCTGATGTAAAATTTTGTCTTTTAATTTGTTGACAAACATCTTCCCATGTGGATAAGCTTTTATTCTTTAGTGTCCTTCCTATGGAAACTAAGGCTATTGGAAACCCAGCACTCCATTTGGCAATTTCAGTAGCATTCTTATCAAACTCAGAATTTTTCACACCAGCAACTTTCTTAAGCAAAGTCTCTGATTCCTTTTCATCAAGGACTCCTACCGAAAAAATTGACCTTTGTTGCACATCCATTTCATTACATAATACTTGTTTATTTCTAGATGTTAGAAGAATTTTGCCTCCTCTATAATCGTTAGACAACTTTTCCTTTTTCATCTTATCCAAATCAACTTTTGACAACTCTTTTATTTCTGTCTTATTATAACCAAAATCAGATATGTCATTGACTTCTTGTTGGCTTGCATCATCATTACATGGAATCCCAAGTTTATTAAAGTCCAATCCACCCCAAAGATCATCAAGGATAATAAGGGTGTTCTCCTTTTCATTCTTTAACCTCTTTCGAATACGATCTACTCTTGCAATCTCACTTTCCTCTTCCAATTTCATTCCTAGCATGACAGCAATTTGCTCTTGAATTTTTTTGAAGTCAGGATTTCCTGTAATATTTGCTATGATGATTATCTCGAACAAATTCTTTTCTCGAGCTTTGTTAGCAATTTCTTTGACTAAAGTGGTCTTACCCACACCACCAGGCCCATAAACTCCAATCATACCAACTGTAGAGTCTTGCAGTGCTTTCATGATCATCTCCATAGTTTTAGTTCTTGATGCAAAGCTTTCATAAACATTGTTTGAAAAAGTAGCATCAATGGATGGAAATTCTTGGTACGAAACATTGTCAAAAAAAGCTTTCCAAAGCTCATCTCCTATAATTTCCTCCACCATCTTTGTAGCTTTTCTACCCAGTTTATACCTCAGTCGGAAATTATTTGGAAAGAAACCAATTGAGCAAATTGTCTTTGCATGACAATCATCATTAATAAAACTTTTATATTCTTTTATTTTATCATCCATGAAGGTTAAGCAATGTTGAACGTCCTTTTCAATTTCATCTCCACTCCTTAGTGCACTATCAACTTGATGTTGTAGTCTCTCCTTATTATTTTCCAACTTCTCAATGTAAGATTTCAACTCCTTAAATTTGTCTTTGTAATTAAAAAAGTAACCCACTTGTCGTTTGACCACACTTGCCGTAATATTAAGTGCACTTTCAGTAGTTGTTGAGACAATTGGATCCATGGTCCCTTGATAATGGGCGCTTTCGTCTTAATTGTTTACTTACGATTAGTCCTTTTTTTCCTAAATAATACAAATGCAGAATTTCAGGGTTTATTAAGAAAAGGAAATAGATAAAACGTTCAAACAAAGAGAACATAGATGTTTATAAATATTACAATAATTTATAAATAAACACAACATTAAAAGGCATCATAAGGTTGTTAATGAAAAATGAACAAGTTACATTTATAGTCATATTTATAGTCGGTGGTGTGGCTTCTATTATTTCCAATGTCACTTGTCTACTCAATGGAGTGGTATATAGGAATGACAAAAATATTGTGTCAATGGAGATAACACTAGTACAATACAGAGAAACGACAGCAGTTATTTTCGCTTATATGCAGCGGTTCTACAACCGAGGCATATACAAGCGAGGTAAAATGGGGTAGGCTTTTTGCCTCGGTTCTGAACCGAGGTAAAAAGGTGTGTGCTTTTGCCTCGGTTCAAATCTAACTGAGGCAGTATAGGGGTTTTTTCGTTTTTTTTGTGTTTTTTTTTGGCGATTTTCTAGGTCAGACATTAGTCCTTGGCCGCAATCCATCAACGTCCACTGAAATGCAACCTCCAAATCACTACAAGAACAAGGACAACGATGCAACCTCCAAATCACTACAAGAACAAGGACAACGTGCTCCCACCACCACCTACAGAGAATCAATCAAACAGAAAACAACCCATTCGAAATCAGAAAAATGGGAGGGAAGGAGGCTTCCTCCTTCGTTGCGAATCAGAACGGAGAGAAGAAGAAGAAGAAGAAGAGTGGCCACTACGCCCTTGTGCCCCGGTTGCGCCCCCGTCGCGTTTCCGTCGCGCCATTGATGATCCCTCCAAGTTGGTTGTCTGCGCGAGACGAAGAACCCAAGGCTAGGTTGATCGGAACAAGAAGAGGAAGGAACAGAGAAGAGGAAGGAAGCCTCCCTCTTGGCAACGTGAAAGAAAATGGGAGAACAAGAGGAGTGGCGCAACACCACAAAGAAGAGGAGTGGCGCAATACCATGCCTGTTCACGAAATTTAACCCTAAACAGATGTTATTAGGGTCTACGGCATCGGTTCTATAAAGAACCGATGCCTAAACCCTCTAAAAAAAATAAAAAATTTCAGCAGGGTCTACGGCCTCGGTTCTATAAAGAACCGATGCCTAAACCCTCTCAAAAAAATAAAATAATTTTTTTTAGCTATTTTATGCCTCGGTTCTTTAAACAACCGAGGTAATAGACCTTTGTAATAATAATAAAAATGCCACCGCGTTAGCTTTAGGCATCGGTTCCTTATGAACCGAGGCATATACGTTTCTGATAATTACAGAAATGCCACCGCGTCAGTTTTAGGCATCGGTTCTTTTTGAACCGAGGCATATACGTTTGCGATAATTACAAAAACGCCACCGCACCATTTTTTGCTTCGGTTACAACTATATCGATGTCTAATGCACGAGTTAAAATCCTTATTTTTTACTAGTGTAAATTTCGCCATGGATAGTTGTTGATACCCATGGATAGCGAAAACAAATATGAAAAGTCTAATTTAGTTAAATTCGTTTTCTCTCACTTAACCTAAGATGAGAGAGGATTTTTAGGTCAAGAGAGTGTGAAAAAGTCGTAGTCTTTGTAAGAAAAAAGATAGAGAAAATTTGGTAGTAAATTCACCTAGTCATCTCAGTAAAATTGTGATTCTTGCTTCATTCACCATTCTAGCAGCACGTTTGTGACATACAATTCTTTAGTTTGACTGTTGAGATTATCAATTGGAAGCTTGTGGTTAGGTAAATTAGTCACTCACGATTGCTTTTTTTTAGGTTTCTCTTTCTTTGTTATTCATATTTGAGAGCATTATTTCTTTGGAGTATT